ATTGAAAGTGCAGATAACCAAAACTTTAAAGAGACCAAAATGTCATAAAGGTATCATAAAATAAATCAAAATTGAGTGGTTTAATCTCAGTCTTGTAAAGAGATATGATCACTTTATATAATGAACAGATTTAATTTAGGGTTTCATTCACATATAAATACATACATACAGTGGGTACGGAAAGTATTCAGACCCCCTTAAATTTTTCACTCTTTGTTATATTGCAGCCATTTGCTAAAATCATTTAAGTTAATTTTTTTTCCTCATTAATGTACACACAGCACCCCATATTGACAGAAAAACACAGAATTGTTGACATTTTTGCAGATTTATTAAAAAAGAAAAACTGAAATATCACATGGTCCTAAGTATTCAGACCCTTTGCTGTGACACTCATATATTTAACTCAGGTGCTGTCCATTTCTTCTGATCATCCTTGAGATGGTTCCACACCTTCATTTGAGTCCAGCTGTGTGTGATTATACTGATTGGACTTGATTAGCAAAGCCACACACCTGTCTATATAAGACATTACCACACTGTATATATTGTAACACATGATAAACCGGAAGCTTGTTTGTGCGTCATGTTAGAGCAAATTTCACTGGTTTTCACGCATCACGCACATATGCTCTATGTATGTCTTTAAATCATTGTTTAGATGTAAATAAAAGGCTAAATTAAAACCGTTCATCATATAAAGCGATCATATCTCTTCACAAGACTTGGATTAAACCTCTCGATTCAAATGGTTTACCCTGGGTTTTACCCTGCCTTATGACTTTTTGGAGATTTTCAAAATTTTGGTTACATTAATTTGTGTTTCAAAAATTAAACAAAGTCATACAGGTTTGGAACAATAGCAATAGAACTTTGTTATATGATGCACACACACACACACACACACACACACACACTGTATGTATGTGTGTGTATATATATATATATATATATATAATAAATTTTTTAGAGCTTGTTGAAATTGGCACTTTTAGGGTGTGTGCCAAAATGTGCCGTTTTTGTATTTGTCTCTTTAAATGCAAATGAGCTGGTGCTCCCCTCTCCCTTTTCAGAAAAGGGCGGAGCTTTAAGAGCTCATGTTTCAGCATAAAACTCAATTCGAATTTTGTACTTAAATATTATCAATATTCGAATTTCAAAGCATAATTTCAGTTGGGGGGGGAAAAGCTTTTGGCTTCTCTCCTAAGGCAACAAGAGGGCGCATCGAACAAAATATTATGCACGTTTCTTCAAAGCATAATAAAATAACACGACTATCTTTGAAAAAAGTGCATAATGTTTAAAATAATGTTTATAAACCTTATATAATTAAAGTTGCTTAAACAATTAGAAACAAAACAGAATCATGCATGTATGTATGTATAGTTTAAAACAAAGGACCGAAAACCAATCACAAAGAGTACTTTCTTCATTTAAAAACTTGAGATGCAGTAGGATGGGGAAAACCCGCCATAAAGTCTTGAGACATGCTTTTAAAAAGTTGAACTTACATTAATTTTACATGGCTTTCTAAACATGTGGCTCTCTTGTGCGAGACACGAGTGCAATGGTGATAGACGTCCCTCTAGAAAATGTGATAAATATGCGTTCTGTGTGAACGGTTTGGTTTCGGTTTTGACGTAAATAACATAATTTCCGCATTGATGTTCTTTTCCCCCGCAATATTTTGAATGAACAACATAGCAGCACTGCATCTAGTGGGTTCAACTGGATAGGCTAACAAAAGTATTAAAATGCAATGACACTTACATCGTCATCGCATCACGCACACCACTGATAAGGCTGCCTGACGCACACCTAAAATTCGAATGCAACATTTTTGCATTCGAATGTGGATTTTTATTTTAAATTCGACGAATATTCGAAATTCGAATTTTGTGTATGTATGTATGTATGTATAAATATGCTTTTTAGCTTCTTTAGCTTTGGTTTAAGCCAATGAAACTTGTAACATTTTCTTTCTCTCTTTTCTTTTTTTTCCTGGCAGACTCCCATCAAACTTTAGGCTGATTTGTTGTCCAACTCTTTGCATCTAAGGTTAAAATAAGCCTTCAGAACTCAAACCACACTCTTAAAAATAAAGGTGCTTCACGATGCCATAGAAGAACATTTTTGTCTAAATGGTTCCATAAAGAACCTTTAACATCTGAAGAATCTTTCTGTTTCACAAAAGGTTCTTTGTGGCGAAAGAAGGTTCTTCAGATTACAAAAAGGTAAGAAAGAGATGGTTCTTTAAAGAACCTTTGACTGCGTGGTTCTTTGTGGAACCAAAAATGGTTCTTCTATGGCATCGCTCGAAGAACCTTTTGAAGCACCTTTATTTTTAAGAGTGCAGGGGCTCAGAGTCACTTGTAACTCAAAGTGTTTAACTAAGATGTTCAGAAAATAAGACAAAGAGAAAGGAAAACTTAAAATAGCATCATATGACCCCTTTAATAGAAATCAAGCTGCTATAAAAAGTTAATTCAACAACAAAGTGCCTAATTTTTTTTAATAGAAAACAAGACTCTCCTTTAAACAATATTTGTATAAGCATATGTAAACCACTGAAACTTGCTGTTTTTTTTTTCAAATGCATGAGTGAACCCACAAACAAGCAAATCATCTACACACCCCCACATCTCATGATTCTAACACTGTGTCCTAATCAGACACTATGTGACAAGTTTTCAGCGACATTGTTCCTTCATCACTGAAAGCAAAATGTTATGTAAAGTGACAAAAATCACATATCAGAACATATGTAGTGTTTATTACTGCTATGTGGAGTGTAATTTTGAACCAATGTGATTATACTGTAGACGGGACTAGTCAGGGGGTGAGAGCAAGGAGTCAATGTTTAGCTGGTTAGCATGACCACTTTAGCCCCTGCTAGTATATCGAACTGCATTATTTGGCTGCAAAACGTTTTCTCCACTGACTACCTTTCAAAATAATCACAACTATTTCATTATATTACAGTGCCTGATGTTTATAGGGCTCTTAAAAACAAAAACAAAAACAAAAAGACTATTTTGCCCTGTCTGTTTCCGTTCATAGCTCAAGACAGGTGCTAGTGAATGGTTTGGGATTATGTGCTCTTGTGGTGCCATCAGCATTGGCATAATTTTCATGCAGCTCTAGAGTACACAAACAATCACCCATGAGAAAAGATGGCAGTTTTCTGTGGGGTCTTGTTCCAGCCTAACAACTGCCATTGAATGGAAATGCTAAAGGATAGATAGCTATTATAGATCTTCCAAGTTAAACAGAAAAAGCCTGTATTCCAGTTAGACTGTAAAATTGTGCTCTCTGACATGAAGCATCTTTGAGTTTACTATTTTTTTTATACTGTGCAATTATATTTTATTGCCACTAGAGGGCACTAATGCATCACAATAACCTTAAATGTCTTATTCCACCAGCACCTCAAGGGACACTTTACAATCAAAATGAGAAACAACCCCAGATGTTTGCAGTGATGCTTCAGTGCTTTGGTGACAGTGACAAAATAACAGCACCAAATTCACACACACACACACACACACACACACACACACTATCTTTTCAAACTCTAAATAAAACAAAGAGAATGGTATTGCTTTAGAGTGTGGAAAGCTTGTTTAAATATATACTCACTGTGTCCAACCAGGTTAACAAATAATAGTACATTTTTATCTTTCTCATGGCAAGGCTTGCTCAATGATTTTCAGAGCAAATGAAAGTAATTTGATTTCAAAGAGAGGTGGTGATTTGACTGATGCAAATGAGAAGAAAGAGCAACACAATGCTCAGAAATCCAATGGCAGTTCAGGCATATACTGTAATTGATTGTAAACAAGATAGATAATGTGATTGTAACTAACTGATTTTGGTTAGTCACAATATGATACATTATGTATAACTTTTTTTTAAAAACCTGATACATTGTCAAAATGAAATGTCTTGTTTAGTGGTAATACATTCCATTTGTGGTCAGTGGTTCAATAGTCATGGTTTCTGCAGCCCACCAATAAAGTTAAGCCAAAGAGCAGAATGCTTACTATTGACCAACAATACAGCATCTTGGGGAGCTGTGTAAGAACACTGTCAAAGGCAGTTTTTAATCTGTAATGTTAAAGTGATAGTCTATCCAAAAATGAAAATTCTATCATAATTTACTCAACCTCATGTTGTTCCAAATGTATGCATTTCTTTCTTCTGTGGAATGTGAAAGAAGATATTTTGAGTAACCAAACCATTTAGGTTCTCACGGACTTCCATTGTGTGGACAAAAATACAATGGACATCAAGGGAAAACAAAGAAAGTAATTCACACATATCTGGAACAACATTAGATTGAGTAAATGAGGATAGAATTTTCATTTTTGGGTGTAACCAGCAACCACCACAACAGGTGACCATTGTTTGCTTGGTTCTGTTGTATAATGTTGGGTAGGCTCATCCACAAAGAAATCTCATTCCATAAACGTAGAGTGCAGTGATCACCCATGTTTTCAGCAGACTTGGTTCCAAAAGTAATTTTTTTCATTTATTTTCTCCCCAGGCATTTAAAAAAAAATGGATGAAGACAAAACAATATCTCTATATAGAAAATGAATGTACAAAAAACTCCCTTATGGAAACGTATTGCACCATTTTTGGAGCTGCATGTATAGCTAAACCTTGATCTCTGAATCATTTTTACAGTATATATTCTTCTGGATATATATGACCTAACAAAAATTTACATAAATTCACCTTAAAAAGTTTCTGACTTAATCACACAACATCAAATTCTGTTACGGCTTTGAGTAGAAAGCCAGATCCAGCATCTAAAAATAAGATATCACTTGGCATAACTAACAGCAGCTGAGGTCATGTGTCTGTAAATCCCAGGGGAAAAAAGTATACACATCAAGTCATTTTTACTCATTTGCAATCATATCTACTGGTTCAGCTATCAGTGTACACCATTTTAAAACTGCATTGACTTCCTGTCTCCCTCCGCTGTCACTTACACTGAATGCTGATGTGGCTCTGGATTAGCTGAGACCGTTTGGGAGCAGCCTTGGGATTAATGCACTGGCCACAATCGGCTGTTGAGCTGACATAGAAGAATGCCAAAAAGGCAAATAGGAAAACAAGCAGGTAGAGTACCAGGAGGGCTTTGAGAATGCGGTTACAGCAGATTTCTTCAGGCCACATGTTTGGGAGGTACCAGCAGGATGAGACAGAGGAGGAAGTGGAAGAACAAGACTGCTGGGAATGAGATTGCTCGCGTTTGTACATTCTAGGAGGCGCGGTAGGCATGTGGTATACTGATTCTAGTAAATGTGGCATTTGGAGGGTATATTTATATGGGAAGAACATCAAGGACAGGATGAGTGGATGGATAGATATATGGATGGACAGACAGATTAATTAATGTGTGGACAGATTGGTGGACAGGAAATCAATTAAATTAAGACATGGATTGATAGTGGGAGGGTAAAAAGCAAGGGTAATATTGTTGAAAAGGGGAGGAAAAGGATAAAATGAGTAGAAATGACATCAGGTGAATAATAGATTTACATATTGTTTGCAGGGCATCCCCTGAAAACAAAGACATGAATGAAACAGAAAAAGGAATGGCAAATGGCACAGAAATATCTCCTTTTTAAATGCATTCATCATCTTTCACACTTTTTTTGCAGATGTATGTTATGAGTTCTATGGGTGCCTTTTATTGAAATGTAAAAAACACCCCGGAAAACCTTCTTTACGGGTTTGACATTATAGAGTTCGTTTCGGAAGATAAACCAGAACCAATTGCATAATTTTAAATTCGACAATTTGCATAATTGTATTTAATTTTCTGAATTGCATAATTTTTTTTAAATTTGCATAAATTGCACAATTTTTGTAGTTCATCTAAGCAATATATATATATATATATATATATATATATATAGATAGAGAGAGAGAGAGAGAGAGACAGACAGATAGATAGATATAGATAGATAGATAGATAGATAGATAGATAGATAGATAGATAGATAGATAGATAGATAGATAGATCATTGTTTTGATGGTCCCTTTTGAACATTTTGTTGACAATAAGTAATGTTGCGCCTACATGTCAACTAACTCTCATCAAAGTATTAGTAGACGGTTTGCTTAATATTTGCTAACTCTTTATTGTCATGGTCTCCCAACAGATATTCTACTGACTATAAGTAACTTTGCAAGTACGTCAACTTATTCTAACCCTAACCCAACCAGTCTACTAATACTCTATTAATACTCTAATGAGAGTTAGTAGACATGCAGGTGCAATGTTACTTATAGTCAACAGAATGTGTTAAAGGGACCATCAAAATAAAGTGAAACCGGATGTTTATATACAAAAGATCCTACTGTACAAATAGGTTTCTTTAAGCAAACAAAATATGGGGTATAAAAATACTTTTTAAATATAAGTTATTAACAGGTGTAATGAGATTCAACCTTATACAACTTGATGTTAAGAATCAAAATAATAATTAAAAAAAAAATTTCAATCACATTAAATGCCATTAAAAACCATCCGCATTTATGTTACACAACCTAATCGACACATAATTACACAAAATCACACAGTTGCATTAAAGAGACAAAATCATTGTTCTACCTTCAAAGCTCATAACAGCAAAAAATAAGAACAGAAAGTTAGCAGGCATGTGAGAAGAAAGCTTAAAATAAAAAGTTTAATCTCAACAGATATTAACCAACTGTGACCTCCAAGTTTGGTACAGTGAGCCAAACTAATAATAAAGTGCACATGTAGGAAACAGGTGACCAACGATGTTCATTCTGTATGTTTCCACCTTTAGCACCTGACACAGTTCATTAGAACAGCCAAAGGCTGCATTCAACCTATTTATTTTGTGAGAGTAATAGTTTAAGATTGGAAACTGAAAACCCATAATTATTGACCAATAATCTAAAAACTGGTGTGATGTATGGGGGGGGGTACTTTAGGCCTGAAGCAGGCTATGTTTCAGGCTATGGTGAATATAAATGTAAATGTAAAGCAACAACGGGCTGGACCACAGAGTACCAACTTAGGCCCCGTCCACACGGAGACGCATTTAGCTGTATATGCATAAATTTTGTATCGTATAGGCGTTTCATCCAGACGGATCCGGCGTTTTGGGTGAGTGGAACCGATATTTTTTGAAACCGGGTCCCAGAGTGGATAAATCTGAAAATGCAGCGAATGCAGTATATTTTCTGAAACGATGACGTCATCAGCCCACGTCTCACCCCTAGTCAGACACCGCTACGTCACGTAACAGCAACAAAAACATGTACAAACACTGAACGATTGTCTTTTTATTAACTACCATTAACACAGATTAATAAATGTATTTATGTAAATGTAAGGTTTATGCGTATAGTCCAAATATTCTTCTCCGTTTTTAGTGTATCTCTGTGGCAGAATTACAGCGCCACATGCTGATCTGGCATGTATACTACATCGTTTTGTGTCGGTTTTGTGTGGACGCAGATATTTCTTGAGACGAGCGGGAAAAAAAGATTGGATAGGGAAAGGTCTGGCTTCGTGTGGACGTAGCCTTATGCAACACTGTACAATTGAAGTCTGTGTTAGGTTCAACGGTACCTTTAATGTCTTCATCTTCAATAGTGGTGTTGGCACTCTCTGATGATTCCTGAAAAAGAACAAAAATACACGCAAACAAATAATTTAAATAGTATCTTACTAATAATTTGAATTTTACACAAGTTAAATGATAATTAAAAACAGTCAGAAATGTTATCCCCCCTGCTGTAAAAAGAAACTGAAACCAGCCTGTGGTATGAAGTGGTTAATTGACCTCCATGTATTGATAGAGGTGCTATGGTTTAGATAAACACTAGTTTGGCCAGCAAACCACCTTTTTCCAGAAGGTTCAAAACCTTATTTCACATTGCAGTTTAACTGAATAGATCCATTATATCAATGTTGTTCTGGATAGGATAGAAATTCTGTTAATGTGATGATTGACCCAGAAAAGTATACGATTATAACATTTCGACATCATGTGGTGTTCTATTTCCTAACAAATCGTCATAATTTACCATGGATTTATTCACTGCACCATGGTATTGTGGCAGAAATGTGGGATATTGATATCGAATTTTATTGAATTAATACATGTAGATATGTAGGCCTATTAAATGTATTAAATTGAATAATTACAGTATGTTTTTGTCATTAAGCTGATTAGCGGTTGTGTATTTATACTAAATATATTTACACTACTGTTTTTTACACAAATACCTAGAAACCATAGTTACATTTTACCATGGTATTGAGGTGCTATATGTGTGGTTTTAACTGTGGTTATTATATGATCTGCAGTAAATGTATGCTACTATGGAAGACCAACGGTTAATTTTAATAAAACACAAACAATTAGAAAAATTCAATTTCACCGTACAAAAATGAGGTTGTTACAATACAGATGTTACTGTTTGTGATAATGAACATAAATGAACATCTGCATCCTAACTCAAGCTACTACTACTGTTAACTCAAGCTACTGTCAAATGTGCAGTCAGGCAACACAAACCTGTTTTATGATTTGAAACAATATCAAATGCAGCGAATGCAGTATATTTTCTGAAACGATGACGTCATCAGCCCACGTCTCACCCCTAGTCAGACACCGCTACGTCACGTAACAGCAACAAAAACATGTACAAACACTGAACGATTGTCTTTTTATTAACTACCATTAACACAGATTAATAAATGTATTTATGTAAATGTAAGGTTTATGCGTATAGTCCAAATATTCTTCTCCGTTTTTAGTGTATCTCTGTGGCAGAATTACAGCGCCACATGCTGATCTGGCATGTATACTACATCGTTTTGTGTCGGTTTTGTGTGGACGCAGATATTTCTTGAGACGAGCGGGAAAAAAAGATTGGATAGGGAAAGGTCTGGCTTCGTGTGGACGTAGCCTTATGCAACACTGTACAATTGAAGTCTGTGTTAGGTTCAACGGTACCTTTAATGTCTTCATCTTCAATAGTGGTGTTGGCACTCTCTGATGATTCCTGAAAAAGAACAAAAATACACGCAAACAAATAATTTAAATAGTATCTTACTAATAATTTGAATTTTACACAAGTTAAATGATAATTAAAAACAGTCAGAAATGTTATCCCCCCTGCTGTAAAAAGAAACTGAAACCAGCCTGTGGTATGAAGTGGTTAATTGACCTCCATGTATTGATAGAGGTGCTATGGTTTAGATAAACACTAGTTTGGCCAGCAAACCACCTTTTTCCAGAAGGTTCAAAACCTTATTTCACATTGCAGTTTAACTGAATAGATCCATTATATCAATGTTGTTCTGGATAGGATAGAAATTCTGTTAATGTGATGATTGACCCAGAAAAGTATACGATTATAACATTTCGACATCATGTGGTGTTCTATTTCCTAACAAATCGTCATAATTTACCATGGATTTATTCACTGCACCATGGTATTGTGGCAGAAATGTGGGATATTGATATCGAATTTTATTGAATTAATACATGTAGATATGTAGGCCTATTAAATGTATTAAATTGAATAATTACAGTATGTTTTTGTCATTAAGCTGATTAGCGGTTGTGTATTTATACAAATTTACACAAATACCTAGAAACCATAGTTACATTTTACCATGGTATTGAGGTGCTATATGTGTGGTTTTAACTGTGGTTATTATATGATCTGCAGTAAATGTATGCTACTATGGAAGACCAACGGTTAATTTTAATAAAACACAAACAATTAGAAAAATTCAATTTCACCGTACAAAAATGAGGTTGTTACAATACAGATGTTACTGTTTGTGATAATGAACATAAATGAACATCTGCATCCTAACTCAAGCTACTACTACTGTTAACTCAAGCTACTGTCAAATGTGCAGTCAGGCAACACAAACCTGTTTTATGATTTGAAACAATATCAATCATTAGAACAGGGGTTTTCAAACCTGTCCTGGAGGACCCCCAACCCTGCACATAAATATATTTACACTACTGTTTTTTACACAAATACCTAGAAACCATAGTTACATTTTACCATGGTATTGAGGTGCTATATGTGTGGTTTTAACTGTGGTTATTATATGATCTGCAGTAAATGTATGCTACTATGGAAGACCAACGGTTAATTTTAATAAAACACAAACAATTAGAAAAATTCAATTTCACCGTACAAAAATGAGGTTGTTACAATACAGATGTTACTGTTTGTGATAATGAACATAAATGAACATCTGCATCCTAACTCAAGCTACTACTACTGTTAACTCAAGCTACTGTCAAATGTGCAGTCAGGCAACACAAACCTGTTTTATGATTTGAAACAATATCAATGCAGAAACTAAAAAAAATTATGTTTCTGTTAAGATATTTATTTTGTTAAAGAAAAATGACAAGAAAAGTATAAAGAATTCAAAAACGTGAAGTGTTTGTCACAAAGAGTAGTTTAAAACCACAATTAATGGTCTGGCTTCTACAACTTTCACTTGCCTTTATATCTGCTTTTAAACTTGAGAGAAATAAAGATATGACATTTATTGCAATAATTATCGATATCGATTTATATGAAAAATTATATTGTGATTTTTTTTTGGCCATATTGCCCAGCCCTATTTATATTTATATTTTATGTTATATTTTAGGGGGGGAAACAGTACTTGCAACCAGGCATTATTTCTAGTAGTCTAAGCAAGCTACATTGCATCGCTCCAGTATTGGGGTATAGTGGCAAGAATACATTTTTGAAAATTTTTTCGGATTTCTGCATTGATTGCAGAGTTGGTCTTCTCAAAATTGCAATGAAGACATTGAGTGACGGTCGACCAGAAAAATGGCCATTCATTATATATATATATATATTGAAATGCAGTAAGTGTGCCCAGTGTGAAAAGTGTGTGGGGTTTTAATGTGTTTAAAATTGTACTTTAAAAAAAAATTAAATGGACCCTTGATTTAGTAACTTAAGATCCTCCTAAAGGAGGATTTTTTTTTAAAGTAAAATTTTTTTGTAAGTGATTTTATTGTAGTCAGATTGTGCTTGTCTATAATTGTAAGTTAAATCAAGATCAAACTACATTTCACAAATCACACTTTTGATGCTATTATTTTGTAAAATAAAAATAAATAAATAAAAGATTTATTTCCAATACTTCTAGACAAATCTGGACCTTACTGACTTTCCTTATATGGTTTAAAAACGGTTTACATTTTTCAAAATATCTTCATTTTGTGTTCTGCAAAAGAATGACATCAGGGTAAATAAATGAGAGATTTTTCTTTTTATGGGGTCAATTATCCAGAATTCATACAAAAATTAATGCAGCAAGCTTAACGTTTCTGATTTTAAACATTCCATCCCTCTTGGTTGCTAGGTTATATCAAACAGTCTTTACAAACTGAATTATCTCTGTGATAACAGACAGCATGCATCAGATGCACTACACAGACAATAAGTTCAAACTCACAATACCCATTTTAATCTTAAAATTTCAACAACACTCAATCCTCATCAATCACTTAATACCTTGTTTCCATCAGTGGGATTGTGGATAACAGTAGTTTGAGACTCCTGATATAGAGGTGCATAGGGAGAGAAAGACAGATAAAACAGAATAACAAGAGATAAAGAGTGTCAGAAAAAGTAGTAGTGAGTTGAAGAGTTAAAGGACACCAAGCATTACATGTTGAGTCGGTGGCAGCCTAGATGTCACTGCCCTGCATGTGCTCATCTAACCGCCACTTTCCACAAATATGGTACAAAATAGGGCCTGGAACTTTTTTAATAAATGGACAGTGCTTAACCTTCAGAAAAGGCTGACAGTCAAATAAATGTATTATGGTAGATAGCAGTTTATCTTCAAAAGTTCTCATGCAATTTATGTGAAAGATAATGGCACTAATGTTTAAAAAAAGTGCACCATATTCATGAAAATAATTTACTGAAGAACTTTAGCAGTAGACGATGTTGTAAGTGAAGTCAGGATTCAAATATCTTAAAGTAACTTTTTGTAACAAAGCTTGGTGAACTTTAGAAAAGAAAAAGAGCATACTGGTTTAGACAACTGGTCATGTAATTGTGAGATAGGAATATGGGTAATTAATACAGTACATTTTCACTAGAGAAACAGTACAGCATACCCAGCCAAAGCATGCAGTAAAACAAGAAAGTATCAGGAACAACACAAGCCAACCTTTCAAAACCTTCATTCAGTCTCTAGGTTTGCTTCAGGTGTTGGTAATGTTTTATTATTGCTTGCTGGTATAGTTTCCTATTGTGACAGCTGTACATTACAGTACTGTAACACTTCATTCAAAAGAGCAATTTAAAACATGCATCTTGAATGATTTGATTCAATCAACTAATCACTAAAATTACCAAATTGTAAGGACATTATTCTGTTGTGTTTTGATGATTAAACCAAATGACTCATTACATAGCCTACAATGGTTGGTGTCCAAGAGAAACATGTATATATGTGTGTGTGTGTGTGTGTGTGTGTCTGAAAACCCATAATTATTGACCAATAATCTAAAAACTGGTGTGATGTATGGGGGGGGGTACTTTAGGCCTGAAGCAGGCTATGTTTCAGGCTATGGTGAATATAAATGTAAATGTAAAGCAACAACGGGCTGGACCACAGAGTACCAACTTAGGCCCCGTCCACACGGAGACGCATTTAGCTGTATATGCATAAATTTTGTATCGTATAGGCGTTTCATCCAGACGGATCCGGCGTTTTGGGTGAGTGGAACCGATATTTTTTGAAACCGGGTCCCAGAGTGGATAAATCTGAAAATGCAGCGAATGCAGTATATTTTCTGAAACGATGACGTCATCAGCCCACGTCTCACCCCTAGTCAGACACCGCTACGTCACGTAACAGCAACAAAAACATGTACAAACACTGAACGATTGTCTTTTTATTAACTACCATTAACACAGATTAATAAATGTATTTATGTAAATGTAAGGTTTATGCGTATAGTCCAAATATTCTTCTCCGTTTTTAGTGTATCTCTGTGGCAGAATTACAGCGCCACATGCTGATCTGGCATGTATACTACATCGTTTTGTGTCGGTTTTGTGTGGACGCAGATATTTCTTGAGACGAGCGGGAAAAAAAGATTGGATAGGGAAAGGTCTGGCTTCGTGTGGACGTAGCCTTATGCAACACTGTACAATTGAAGTCTGTGTTAGGTTCAACGGTACCTTTAATGTCTTCATCTTCAATAGTGGTGTTGGCACTCTCTGATGATTCCTGAAAAAGAACAAAAATACACGCAAACAAATAATTTAAATAGTATCTTACTAATAATTTGAATTTTACACAAGTTAAATGATAATTAAAAACAGTCAGAAATGTTATCCCCCCTGCTGTAAAAAGAAACTGAAACCAGCCTGTGGTATGAAGTGGTTAATTGACCTCCATGTATTGATAGAGGTGCTATGGTTTAGATAAACACTAGTTTGGCCAGCAAACCACCTTTTTCCAGAAGGTTCAAAACCTTATTTCACATTGCAGTTTAACTGAATAGATCCATTATATCAATGTTGTTCTGGATAGGATAGAAATTCTGTTAATGTGATGATTGACCCAGAAAAGTATACGATTATAACATTTCGACATCATGTGGTGTTCTATTTCCTAACAAATCGTCATAATTTACCATGGATTTATTCACTGCACCATGGTATTGTGGCAGAAATGTGGGATATTGATATCGAATTTTATTGAATTAATACATGTAGATATGTAGGCCTATTAAATGTATTAAATTGAATAATTACAGTATGTTTTTGTCATTAAGCTGATTAGCGGTTGTGTATTTATACTAAATATATTTACACTACTGTTTTTTACACAAATACCTAGAAACCATAGTTACATTTTACCATGGTATTGAGGTGCTATATGTGTGGTTTTAACTGTGGTTATTATATGATCTGCAGTAAATGTATGCTACTATGGAAGACCAACGGTTAATTTTAATAAAACACAAACAATTAGAAAAATTCAATTTCACCGTACAAAAATGAGGTTGTTACAATACAGATGTTACTGTTTGTGATAATGAACATAAATGAACATCTGCATCCTAACTCAAGCTACTACTACTGTTAACTCAAGCTACTGTCAAATGTGCAGTCAGGCAACACAAACCTGTTTTATGATTTGAAACAATATCAATGCAGAAACTAAAAAAAATTATGTTTCTGTTAAGATATTTATTTTGTTAAAGAAAAATGACAAGAAAAGTATAAAGAATTCAAAAACGTGAAGTGTTTGTCACAAAGAGTAGTTTAAAACCACAATTAATGGTCTGGCTTCTACAACTTTCACTTGCCTTTATATCTGCTTTTAAACTTGAGAGAAATAAAGATATGACATTTATTGCAATAATTATCGATATCGATTTATATGAAAAATTATATTGTGATTTTTTTTTGGCCATATTGCCCAGCCCTATTTATATTTATATTTTATAAATATATTTTTATATTTTATATGTTATATTTTAGGGGGGGAAACAGTACTTGCAACCAGGCATTATTTCTAGTAGTCTAAGCAAGCTACATTGCATCGCTCCAGTATTGGGGTATAGTGGCAAGAATACATTTTTGAACATTTTTTCGGATTTCTGCATTGATTGCAGAGTTGGTCTTCTCAAAATTGCAATGAAGACATTGAGTGACGGTCGACCAGAAAAATGGCCATTCATTATATATATATATATATTGAAATGCAGTAAGTGTGCCCAGTGTGAAAAGTGTGTGGGGTTTTAATGTGTTTAAAATTGTACTTTAAAAAAAAATTAAATGGACCCTTGATTTAGTAACTTAAGATCCTCCTAAAGGAGGATTTTTTTTTAAAGTAAAATTTTTTTGTAAGTGATTTTATTGTAGTCAGATTGTGCTTGTCTATAATTGTAAGTTAAATCAAGATCAAACTACATTTCACAAATCACACTTTTGATGCTATTATTTTGTAAAATAAAAATAAATAAATAAAAGATTTATTTCCAATACTTCTAGACAAATCTGGACCTTACTGACTTTCCTTATATGGTTTAAAAACGGTTTACATTTTTCAAAATATCTTCATTTTGTGTTCTGCAAAAGAATGACATCAGGGTAAATAAATGAGAGATTTTTCTTTTTATGGGGTCAATTATCCAGAATTCATACAAAAATTAATGCAGCAAGCTTAACGTTTCTGATTTTAAACATTCCATCCCTCTTGGTTGCTAGGTTATATCAAACAGTCTTTACAAACTGAATTATCTCTGTGATAACAGACAGCATGCATCAGATGCACTACACAGACAATAAGTTCAAACTCACAATACCCATTTTAATCTTAAAATTTCAACAACACTCAATCCTCATCAATCACTTAATACCTTGTTTCCATCAGTGGGATTGTGGATAACAGTAGTTTGAGACTCCTGATATAGAGGTGCATAGGGAGAGAAAGACAGATAAAACAGAATAACAAGAGATAAAGAGTGTCAGAAAAAGTAGTAGTGAGTTGAAGAGTTAAAGGACACCAAGCATTACATGTTGAGTCGGTGGCAGCCTAGATGTCACTGCCCTGCATGTGCTCATCTAACCGCCACTTTCCACAAATATGGTACAAAATAGGGCCTGGAACTTTTTTAATAAATGGACAGTGCTTAACCTTCAGAAAAGGCTGACAGTCAAATAAATGTATTATGGTAGATAGCAGTTTATCTTCAAAAGTTCTCATGCAATTTATGTGAAAGATAATGGCACTAATGTTTAAAAAAAGTGCACCATATTCATGAAAATAATTTACTGAAGAACTTTAGCAGTAGACGATGTTGTAAGTGAAGTCAGGATTCAAATATCTTAAAGTAACTTTTTGTAACAAAGCTTGGTGAACTTTAGAAAAGAAAAAGAGCATACTGGTTTAGACAACTGGTCATGTAATTGTGAGATAGGAATATGGGTAATTAATACAGTACATTTTCACTAGAGAAACAGTACAGCATACCCAGCCAAAGCATGCAGTAAAACAAGAAAGTATCAGGAACAACACAAGCCAACCTTTCAAAACCTTCATTCAGTCTCTAGGTTTGCTTCAGGTGTTGGTAATGTTTTATTATTGCTTGCTGGTATAGTTTCCTATTGTGACAGCTGTACATTACAGTACTGTAACACTTCATTCAAAAGAGCAATTTAAAACATGCATCTTGAATAATTTGATTCAATCAACTAATCACTAAAATTACCAAATTGTAAGGACATTATTCTGTTGTGTTTTGATGATTAAACCAAATGACTCATTACATAGCCTACAATGGTTGGTGTCCAAGAGAAACATGTATATATGTGTGTGTGTGTGTGTGTGTGTGTGTGTGTGTGTGTGTTTTTATAATTTGTATTACTCTTATGTTGCTTAAATCAAATCAAATGATTTTATTATTAATGGCTTGTGCTTAAATTACATTAGGTTTGTAGACAAATATAAATTGTGTCAATATATATTAATTATTTTAAAAACAATTAATTGATAAGTTAAACTTTTAACTTTTAGTGCAGAAAAAAACCCATCCACGAGTCCAGCATTTATCCATACAAAATAAACTGTTGACAATGTCCACTCTTAACACATGTTCAATAATGCACCTTTTAAAAACATGGTTAGTTCATGTATGAACAAGGAAAGAATAGTCAGTTAGCAAACACACGAGCACCGGCCAAAGGTTACATCGAGAGGTCTTGAGCACCGCGTGAAGTGAACCTCCAAAAAATACATTATTACTAAATTACTATATAAGGTCAATTTTAAGAACATGAAAATGTTTCTTATTGTGGGGTAATCAGTAACAAGCACAAAACCCTTACTAAATTATATACCAAACTATCAGCATGACAAATTTGGAAAAAGATAGAAATTTGCTAACAGGAAAAAAATCATGTCCATTGCTTTTAAACATTTCAAACTATGGTCTGTACATATACTACTATATACTACAAAAACAGCTGTACAATGGAGCAGTCTTATTTATTTAGTACACCACACAGGTGTTTTTTGTACACAATGTGTTGTGATTACTGAATATTGATTACATGAAACTTGCATATGCATAGACTAATGACACCAATGGACATATCTGATTAAGCATTTTAGGATTTTTTTTTAATTAAACCATTAAATAAAGTATATTTAAAATCGGTAAATTATTAAATATAACTGTTCTATATTTAATCATTTATACACACATGTGCTTATTTATATGTTTACTTGAATGTTGTAATAAAGACATAATACATAATACTTCATTTAGCACTCTAGCCCAGAGTACAAATTTTTGTCACCATAATTGCTACCATTATTTAAAATACTTACTTTGGACTTTTTCTCTCTGCATTCATATGTCAATGAAGAACAATACATAGTCACATTTCCAGAATATTGCTAATTATTTGACTGACTGCATTATTTTAATGCAGGATTTCACACATGAAGAAGGTGCTGAATTGATTTAAAAGAGAAAAGGCATGCTAACAAAAAGAGAGAGAGAGAGAGAGAGAGAGAGCGAGAGAGATGTGAAGCCAGTGGTAAGAAAAAGCAACTGACAAACAGTCATACAGACAAAATACCAGAGCAGGAGAGGGGGCAGATTCTTTAGGGCTGGTGATTACGTTGGTTTTGTTGTTGATCTATAGGTGGGAGGGGACAGAGGCAGACAAACAAAGCTTTAAACAAGCAAGGGAAATGTCAAATTCCATTCATCTAAAATCTAAAAATTAAACTGAAATTACACAGCTCGCTTTACATGGACGTTTATGGAATAGTTAATTTGCATATTTGATCATAATGATTTCTCTTGACAACAATTAATCAGGCTATTCCTCAACTACAGCAAAATTGGACGTCAAATAATCCAAATTTTCATTGGAAACTGTCATTTATGCAAAATGGCATTTGCAATTCTGTCCGAATTATGCTGTGGAAATTACAAGTTATTTAAAAGCCATAAAAGTCTTAACAGGTACGGAAGTCCTAAGAGGCCATGCATTATTACATTTTTTTTCTTTCTTGTTTTCTCGTGATTTCGACATAACAATAATTGTTTTCTCATTATCTCAACTTCATTTTCTTGTGAACTTGACATAACAATAGTTGTTTTCTCGTTACCTCGACTTAATTTTCTCGTGGTGTCGAAATAATTAGTTTTCTTGTGATCACGACTTAATTTTCTCGACATAACAAAAGCTGTTTTCTCGTTATCACAACATAACAAAAGTTATGTAAATATACATTTAATGATTAAAAATAAAGATAAAAAATTAGAACAAAAATGCACATTACAAATACACAACAAAAAATACGTTGTTGAAGCACGTCCTAGATAAGCACCATAATCCCCGCTTATTAACAAACAATCAGGTACTTCAAAGATGCACAAATAAAGATAGATGCAAACAGAATACTATACAGTGACGTCAACATTAGTTTTAATAAGCATTACATTTAGTATCACATCGAATGCTCTTGCGGTAGTGAAACTATCATATTGATTCAAGCATTTAACAATTTGCTTGTCAGTAACAAACACAATACTGCAAAAATTATAGTGATCACAAAGAAATAAGGTCTTCATTCTGTCCCAAATGCGTAGCCTAAAATCTGGGCCAATATGAACACAGTAAGGTGGATATATATATCCCATCAGTTATTTTCAGGTCTATATGCCATCTAGTGCCACAGTTGTGTAACTTGGGGAACAACATTTATGTCGAGAAAATTTACAGCAGTGAATAAAGCATTTCTGTGGACAAAATGCATCTAAAACTATAGCGGATGAAACAGTGAGCTGCTGCAGGAAAGATGCGTGATCCAAGCAGCCCGAAACATGAGAATGTTTTATTTTCAACTTCAAGTACACAAATCAAGTACTTGAGTAAATATTACTCCAGTAAAAGTAAAAGTACTCCGTTTTCAATTTTACTTGAGTGAAAGTACAAAAGTACTCGATTTTTTATGTACTTACGTAAAAAAGTACAGATAGATAGATTTATTTTTCAATTTTATATAGGCTACTTAATTAAATTTTATATAGGCACATATTTTTTATAATCCTACTGCTCAAAATACCTGGGATTTTCCCAAAATAACCACTATATGAGTCAAGATATATTTTTGTTGTTGATATAGACTACGTTGACGAGAGTGATGTAGTAATGTTCACTGTGAAGCTTACACTGCGATATACATGAGAGAAAACAGATTTGACCATCTGATTTTCACCAGTAAGAATAAAGTGTTTTAAAGCTTGTTGTTTTGCAGAACATCACAGTTATATATGACATGAGAATAAGCCCTGAAGTTAAGAAGAACATTTTAAGGAAAATATAATTATATAGTCTGTGGTGTAAAAACACCCGTGGCCAAATCACTTCCCACTTTGATAATTACTGTAGTTACCATGTTCTGAACATCACATTCTTTCTTTTTCCCCCAGATGTAATCTATCTAGGAGGTTGAATAAAAATATTTGGACTTTATATCTAAAAATTACCTCAACTTAGCACCAGCAAGCTTGTTAGCTAGACAGTTAGCATCAGCTAACAATATTTACTTATTTTCAGTATGGTTATGAATAAACATTCATATCTGTCTACTCGGCTAGTTAAATCCAAACAATATACAAATTTATACTGATGATAAACAATATAAAAATAGATGTTACATAGGGCTAAATGTGTAGCATTTTAATAAAACTGTTAACCTTACGGCAGCGGGGAATATGAACATGCATGAGTTATTTTATTTAATCTGTGTTATTTTAATGTTTTGTTTTTTTAACCTAAAACATAGAGACACTGATGTTGATGTGTCTGCATTCAAGCATTTCAGTGGGCTTAAATTTGCCCTTTACAGCAGATTTAGTTCACAAACAACTGACAGTTTTGACCTAAATATGATTTTCAGTTACAATAATTAATCCCAAAATTCAACATTAGTACCTTACTTTTAGCAGCATCAGTTGCGCACACAAGATCTCCCGGTTCTTACTTGTGAATTCAGTTCACTGGAGACTCGCACTAAAAGGTTCATTTGAATCAGTAAGTTCTTGACTCGAGAACAGCTGCATTCGGTTCATTCTAATTCATGAATGAATCGTTTGGTCCGATTTGCTAACCGATTTAAAAGGTTAACTGAAAAGAATCAGTTCGTTCTTGAATCAGACACCGCTTCTGCGTGTCGGAGCACATGATATATTATAAGGAGTAACAATATGTTTTATGAAATGTAATGAAGTAAAAACTACGATCTTATGCTTTGGAATGTAGTGAAGTAAAAGTAAAAGTTACTCAAAATAAAACTACTCTAGTAAAGTACAGATACTTGAAAAATTTACTTAAGTACAGTAACGAAGTAAACTCCGTTACTGTCCACCACTGAGTGTAACAT